ATTGTTATTATGGAAGATTTAATGTATATTGATGATTAATTAATGTCTACATTAAAGAAAACTTGGAATAATAATTTGCAACACTTTAATAAAAATGTAGAGATTCCTGTAGAGAATTGTATGGAACAGACATGACTGGATATCTACAGTTTTGATATAGATTGTAACAAGGGCCATATTCAGTCGTATGCAAATGGACTTCCCCTCATGAAATGGAGGTTTCAACTCCTCTGTGCTTCCATACTCAGTCCAATTTGCTCCAGCATCTTCCAAAACTTTGGAGCAGATTTGAGACACACGCAGAGAGTACAGTGGGAGGGGCAGATTCAATTCACTCAGTTGACAGTATATAAGCCATATGGTTTGTTCACTCTTAGTTTAAAAATAATTAGTCACTGTATTAAATAATAACAAAAGATTTGTTGGCTTCAAGGCCGATAGGAACCACCAACCCCATAAAACTATTCCACTGAGAATGTTTGTGGTAAGAGGTTTAGTATGAGAGAAACAGACAGGTAAATTATAATGAAATTTGCATCTTTGAAGTAAAGCTGTCACAGCTGCATTTGAATGGATAGCTATACTTCAATATATTCTGGTGTCACTTGATTTCTTTGCAAATTATATCATGATGAAAGGACACCTTGGACTTGGAGGAAACAAGTTCTTATATTAATGATCCAAAAACTATTTCTGGCACTAATTTTATGTGAACTACACATTTTTTCCCTTTCTGAGCACTGTTTTTGAGTGGAAAGGGAGGCTATAAATTAATTAATTAAAAGTAAATACCATTTTGTCTAAGACACTAATTTATCCATTAGAGAAGAATTACAAAATATCATAGTTAGCAAAAACGTTAGTTGTGAAAAAAGTGGGAGGAAAAGACGAAGTAACATGATAAATTATAGCTGAATATATAATAACTGAAATCTTTATTCTGATCAGTGAATACTAAGTACTTGTTATGAATTTTGTCATACATTTATGGAATATATTAATATGTTTGTACATATCAGGCAATTCTATGCCTTGCAAATTTATATATAAAAATATATAGTCTGAAA